CGATCCGCAGGAAAATGGAGTTATGCGCTTTCTTCCTCATTTCCATACTAAACCCACTCCCTCCTCTTCCTTGGTTCTTACCCATTCATCACATATCTAAAAAGTTTCGCTCCGTTTTTTTGCCCCCAAAATGCACGCGCATGTACGTAAACTAGTGTAGTAATTTCAACTGAAGACCCCAAAAAAAAGATAAAATTGGATGCATATATAACCTGTGCAAAGGAGGAAATGAAATCTTTTTCAAGGATTTTTAAAGAGTCCATCTCTAACCGGGAGACAACGTACTAAAACTAAAGGTAACAGGTTGAACCGCCATGCAATGTGGAAGCAGAAGACAGACATAGCAGAAAAGGAACCCACGGAAATGGTAACATGCTTGAGTTTGTACCGAAATTGTAATTTTTGAGGCTCGTAGGAGGAAGAAGGACATTGAAGTAAATTGGCAAGATGTGAGAGAGAAGAGTATCTTCATAGGGGGGTGGTGCCTGCCAGGGGAGTTCGTCGAAAAGAAGACTCCAGTAATCTATTGAAAAGCCACCACCAGAGCATTGTGCAGAAAGCTAATAATAGATTCGTAACAGCCCTCGTGGAAACTCACTTTAATTTCAAGCTCTCTAGTGAGAATGCTGGCAGTTATGGAGTGATTCGTATGACTATTTTGTTGATTTAATAAGAGGGGCATTTTTTATCAATTATGTTGTTTTCAATTTCAGTAATAGATCAAGATCTTCTAATGATATTTCAAAAATTCGAGGTCCTTAAATGTCATGGTTAGGGCGTGAGTGTCTACAAAGTTCATTCTCCCTCAGCTAATCTTCAGAGCCCGCACGATGGGGTTGATCTTGCAGTGCATTAGTGATCTCTCCCTTCCTTTTCGAATGGGTTTAAAATATTTGTTGTTTACGGATCCGCTGACGGCTTCATCTTGAAACTTCTGCCCGTGGGGAAACCCGCGGCTGTTCGTGCAATTGCCAATTGAGCCACTATCACCTTCGAAGAAATATTTCGGGTGGTGCAAGTGTTTACTCTCTCGTGATCTCTATGCTTATGGCCTATAATTGGAATGGCATTTCAAAATTTGGATCAGATCCTCGAGCGACACGAATGTTTCTTACACAAATTGATGAGTTTGACAAGAGCCGGTGGGGAAAATTTTTTTCCCCCCTAAACACATGTATCTTTTTCTTTTTAACAGAAGCAATCTTTTTCGAGCTACTATTAAAAACTAAATATAAACGTTTCTTCTATCAAGAATTTGAAACTCGATTCTTCATCTTGTGAGGAATTAACGCTTTCTCCGGACCCAACTTCAGTTGGTTGAACTAGCGGAAACGTGGAGTAGAATAGAAATTGCAATTGCCCTGTGCCTGGTGGAATTTTGTTTGCCGAAGAGTTTAGCTCCTGGGCTGCGTGAAGGTAACAGCGCAACTCCTCACGGCGCACTCTCTGCTTCCTTGGACTTTCCTATTTGGAGCCCATGTCAACCCATGGTACTCTTGGTAGCCCATTTTCTGGACTGGGAGACTGGATATGTGGCAGCGTCGTCATTCAACTGGTCCCCCCCCCCCCCAAAAACACCAAAAACAAAGAAAAACCCAACGAAGTGTGGAAGATATCAAGTATTGATAGATACTCCATTGTCCCGTGTTGCTTTCAACGTGTTTTATCAGAATAAATATCAACTTGAAATCTTATTGATCCTATCTTAATATTTACATTTTTTTAAAATTTTACAATCTACATAATAATAAATAGGGAGTAAGATAGTATATTTATACTAAGATTTTAATGAAGTGACTTGTAAATAAAACTAATGAGAACTTTCTCTTTATGCTCTATAATTGGGAGCGGCGGAGCCTGGCCTTATGTTTTGACTATATATATATATAAGTTATCAGGATTTAAATACTGATTTGTGATTATTATGAGGGGTTTAAATAAGAGGAGTGTAGATGGTGATGGGAATTGAGCGGTAGAGGAAGAATGATAGTTGGAGGAGGGTATCAAAGAAAAATGATAACCGGAGGAATTATCTTGCGAGGGAGTAATGATAATAAGCAGAAGGGAGATATCACGTGATACGTGGTGAATTGAGTGGAGGAGGAGGCCGGACCAGGCAATGAGAGGTCAGAGACATGAATGGACGTGGGACGGTGGATGTGCCGTGCGGAGATAGGATGAGTGAACCCCACCTACAGCAACAACTCCATGTGTCCCCCTCAACAATCCTCTTCTCTTTTATTTATCGTTACGTCAACATCTTAATAATTAAAGTTAATATTTTCATAATATAAACGCAGTGATTGAGAAGGGGGTGGAAATAGGACGGAGACGAAAGAGGTGTGAATTTCCGTCTGTGTTCATTTCATCAGGTGTTAATATTTGTCGTTATCGTGCCAGCAATCGCCCACTGCCCCGTGGCTCCCCTGCATTCTTTTGTCCTTATATATCCTCCGAATATCCCTCCCTCGCCATCTGAATTTGAATTAATGGTATTTTCAGAAAATTAATCTGGCAGTAATTTCATCATTCAATTGTGGTGTATATGTAATTTCCAAGGCAACAACTAAATTACATACTGCTCATTGTTTTATTGCTTATCTCGTATATCTGAAGTCCTTTTTTTTTTTCTTCTTCTTTTTTTAAACCAAGACAGTCGTGTTGTAAGGCGTCAAAAGAACCTTGTTCTGTTGCAACCTGCACGTCTCGTGCAAAGTTACTGTAGAGGCTACCGCATTTATACCTTTCACCTCTACGTTGTTTGTTGAGGGACTATGGGCCGACTTAGCTCGGTTTTTTTTTTGGACTTTATAGTGGAGTCCCTTAAATCTGTTTATCATTTTAATTTTAATATGTATGGAATAAGGAATTATAAAACATTTATATGGAAATAAGACGGGTTATTGTTTATAAAATAAGTTGTTGTTGATATCTGAGTATAAATGAGGACAGTGAATTTTAAAATCAAACAAATTCTTGTTTATTTTGGCCCATTCCTATGCAGGACGACTAGCCCGAAATAAATAAAGTTGTCTGGTTATCAAAAAAACACGGAGGACGTGCACAGAAGTAAAAAATATTACATCCGATCGTTCATATTCTATAAATAATATGTTATAAATAGGACCGGAGGTGGTAATTATTTACACATTGACTGTCTTGGTTGTTCATGCCATATATAAAAATATATTCATTTGATTATCAAAAATATATATTTATTAATACTTTTATTGTCACATTTATTCACTTTTAAATTATATTTTTCATCTCCTAAACATTATTATTTATTATTACATCACACTATCAATATCTGCTCAATAATTGATAAGCAAAAAAGCAAATTGAAATTGGCGGAAGTGATAACACCGCTCTCGTTTTAGAGCTGGTGGAGCTGCGGTCCCCAAACTGCGCGTAGCCCGTCGTACGTGCAGTCTGTGCGCGTAGCGACAGCGTTTCGTCCCACCCCGCCCTTTTTTCACAATCACGTGTTGCTGCCCCTCCCTGCCGTCTCCTCCAGTTTTCGTCTTTCTTCCCTATTTTCATTTTTTTTGAAATAAAAATCAAGTTGCATTTACATATAGAAGAAAAATATTTATTTAAAATCATATTTACTGTCACTACATGACAAATGTATAAATTATTTAATCGCTCAAAATTTAATATCAAAGTTTTAAAAATAACCTTACTCAGACTTAATATACATGTGGAGCCAACGTCGCTGTGAGTTTTCGAAATGAGTCATCATGCCCCACTCAAACAGCAGTCCAAACAGGCATTTTCCACTTTTGCCCTGCATGATTCCCCATGGTTATGACCGTGATTTCTTTCTTTTTTTTACTGCTACTTTTGCCCTGGAAAGTTTGCGCAAAATGTCGTCCTCAAAATGCTTAAAAGATAACTAATATTGCTCAAATTTAACGGCAGCAGAAAAATCACATGAAAGATTGGCGAAGACACAAAGCGAAGTAAATGACAGAGACCACAGAGCATGCATACGGTGAGCAAACACTGAAGAGGATGAGGTACAGATGGTAAGCAACTCTGCCTCTCTCTCAATTCTCATACGTTTTAGATTCCATGGCAGTAAGCATGCACAATTGAGGGATAAGGAATGAGCAAAAAAGGTCAGGTCTAAAAGCAAAAAACAAAATTTCATAGCATGATTATTTTAAATCGCATGTTTATGTCCAGCTTGCTGTTAAATTTGGACACATCGCTCTTTTTGTAGTAGTTTTAGAAGAAACAGTGAACCAAGAAAACTTCTGATTTCCTATTACGCCTCTTAACAAAAATTTGTGCGACAAAATGAAAAAGAAGAAAACATGATCACACCCACTCAAAGTCATACGTATCACAAGGCTTGATGTAACAAATTTGTTTTGCTACCGTTAGAATAGGATAACATTGTTTTCTTTTTAACACTTTCAATATGACTTGAGTAAAAAAAAAAAAAAAAAACTAAATGCCTCCACCTCTTTGGCAAAAACTTGTATAACAAAAATGGCTACCGGCGGGGATGCGGGGTGAAAAACCCCACCTTAAAAGTGGATTGCATATTTTTGCCAATCTGACTGGATCCATACTACTGCTTTTACCCGATTTATGTTCAAAGTTTTCTTATAATTAAGTTTCGTTTGTTTTACGTTGTAAAAATTGATATGATAAAATTAATTTTGGCCCCCTCCATTTTCATGCATTCTTTCTTTTTTCCTCGCTGAGGCTAGATTTGTCACTGCATGCATGCAGATGTTTCAATTTTGATAGTAAATATTATGAAATATAATACTGCCTTCCGTCCTAATTATAAGACCTTATTTGTAATTTATAAACGAGGTCTTATATATAAATAGGACATAGGACCGGGGGTGGTAATAAGATTGTTTAAAAGCTTAAACATGATTTTGTTGCCTGCAAAAAGTGTTTTGCTCTGCATGCTGCATCTATTTATACCCTTGATTTGCATTCATGATCTGCAAGCTCTTCAAACTCATCTCCTTCCTTGTTTCCTTCAATGGCTCCAACAGCCGCTTCTAGCACTAAGCCTCTTCCTTCCAAAATCTCCAGCATCAAAGACTTGGCTGAATCCCACGGCCTCGCTTCCATCCCTTCCGACTTCCACACCCTCGCCGATCGTCGAGACCAAGTTGCTGACGACGGCCTTGCCGCTTCCATACCCGTCATTGACTTGTCCCTTCTCGCCTCACCCGACCCTCAACTCCATGCTCACGCCCTCCAACAACTTGCCGAAGCCGCCGCCGAATGGAACTTCTTCATGGTACTTACGCGCATCAATTTCAATCACCCTCTTTCTTGATCATATATCCTACGTACGTATAGACCTAATTACATTGCACGTGCATTTATGTGTATATGTTTTCTACTTTCAGATCATAAATCATGGGATTTCCGAGAGCCTCCTGCAAGATGTCATGAACAAGTCTCTGGAGTTTCACAACTTGCCTGTTGAGCAAAAGAACGAGTTTTTGGACCAAGGCCTGTTCGCACCTATCAGATATGGCACCAGCTCCCACTCTCAAGCCGAGACGGTTCATTACTGGAGAGATTATCTTAGGATAACAACGTTTCCCGAATTTAACTTCCCTCACAAACCCACGGGTTTCAGGTATAGTTGGAATAATATAATCCGACAAACGAGACGTAATACCCTTGACCCTCGTGATATTTTTTTTTTCCTATCTCGTGTCTCTTATCATTGTCCACCCCGCACCTTTTGTTTTCTTGAAGGGAGCTTGGATTCGAGTATAGCAGACAAATCAGACGTGTTGTGAAAGTGTTGCTTCAGGGAATATCCGAGAGTTTAGGGTTAGAACCCAACGCCATTTCGGATTTCTCGGGTTTTGATCGTTCCGGGTTTCAAAAGTTTCAAGCAAATCTATACCCTCCGTGTCCTCGGCCGGACCTCGCTCTGGGGCTGCCTCCTCACACTGATAACGGCTTCTTCACCATCCTTACGCAAAACGGCATCGGCGGCCTTCAGGTGAAGCACGACGGCAAATGGGTGAACGTGAATCCTCTCCCCAACTGCCTGCTTGCCATCCCGGGAGATCAACTTGAGGTCGCTTTCACTTTATAAATTCTTGCGCACCTTTTCACTATAATTTTGGTCCCCTCCGTGCTGACAAATCTTTATCCTACAAATATGGTCCTGCAGGCATATGCCATGGATGGTGATATTTAGAGTAAAGTCTGCTCAAATGAGCCATGTAAAAAGTTCACTTGAGTCGTGCATATTTTAAGATGCGGAGAATTACTATATAATCATTAAGAATGAATGTGATAATTAAAAAGGTGTCATAATAAGTGATTGAGAAGGTCTGGTGCAGGTGATGATAACAAAATTCAAGTTGTTCACTTATTATTAGTAAGATTTTTTGGTGATTATATTTTTTCATTGGGACCTCGATCGTAATACCGGATGATGAAAATAAAGATTTAGGCTCGGCCCCGAAAATAGAAGTTGATTATAATATCTAACAAAGTAAAAGCGTGTAGTGATTTGATTGAAGAATGACATTGTAATTTGGAGTTGTAGAGATAGAATAGTGGTAATATATAATTTTATGATTGAGTTTTACTGAGGTGCTGGCATTTAACCTGTGGATTTTAGCTGGTGAGCAACGGAAGGTACAAGAGCATCTGGCATCGCGCAATGGTGAACACGAGAGTGACCAGGGTTAGCCTTGCAGTGGCAAATGGACCACCGCTGGACAAAGAAATGGGGCCCGTGCCACAGTTACTGAAGAAGGAAAAGCCACTATTCAAGAGCGTGAGGTACAGGGACTACATCTTACTTCAACAGAAGGCTCGATGCGTGGAAGGCAGGGCCCTGGATGACCTCCGCATTAATTAATTAATTAGACCTTTTATTATCATATCTGTTTTTCCCATTAAATAAGCGGCTCATGCCATGCATGCATGTCACACTCAAACATGCGTGACTACCCCATTAAGTCTTACTAATTAATTATGCTAGCTCTATGTGCCCACTCTTCATTGCGTGACGGCCTTTTCTAGTTATCTCTTGTGTGGTGGATGGCGGTGGCACGTCCAATGATGGTCACTAATATTAATAAAGTGCATCCATTTGGGACCTCATCACCGTTCATGCACACTTGGTTAGCCAGTTGCCCATCATTCGATTTCTTCCTTCACGCACGACGAAAATAAAATACTCCTAATTATGTCTGATCATGTCCGCATTATTAAGAACAAGCACTTCATTCATTAATTTTATCTGAAAAATAATTAACAGCTCATCAGATTACTTATAATGACATCATTAATTTCTTTCAGAGAGCATTTTATGTCAAGAGCTTCGGATGCTGTTAAAGAAGCCGGTTTCACCACCCAGCTTAATTATTCTGAGGTCCGTTATTCTTTAAAAACCTGAAATACTCTAAGATTATGGGTTATAATTAAGGAATAATAAATGTTTTAAATCACAGTAAAATTTAATTGCTCCATCCAATCCCAAGTATAAAACTAAAACAACTATTAATTCACGAATATTAACAAAATTGGTCAAGTATAACATATGTGATTATTAGGTGAAAATGGGCACAACTTTGTAATTTGGTCGGAGCAGGCCCAGATGGCACCAGCAGTGGAGCCCTGCTTGCTCCAGAAAGCCATGACGAGTTACCACTGGTTGCAGCTTCTGCTTCATTTTTCAAACCAAAAACAGAGAGAGAGTCATGCACGTGACCCCGACTAATGATGTCGGCTGCGACAGCCCAACTGCCATTATCATCTCTCAAGTCTCAACTTGGTTTGCCGCCTGAGGTTGAGCCCGCTTTTCATCTCACATTTTACTGAGCTGCTGGCTCTCATGATAGTTTATCCATTATTTATTGTGGCAACAAGCGAAGGGTTTTTATGAAGACGTGGCTTTTTTATATCATACCACCTCTTGTCTTTAATATAAAAGCCAATTTATTAATTTGAGTAGATTAAAACATTTGTTAAGATAGTTATTTATAAGAGGTGTTGTTTTTATTAAAATATTCTTATTAATCATGTGTATTAACTATATAACTACCAGTTGATAAAATTTTTAATAGGTGTAACTAGTATAAAAACTACTTAAAAAAAAGATAAATATGACAGACAAAGAAGATTATAATATTACATTTAAGACTAAATTAAAAAATTAAACTAACTTTTATATTAAGAAATAAGATAGTATAGAGTTATATATAGGTCACCAGAAGTGGCCTTCCTCAAATTGGATTTCATACCAGTAGACGGAGCTTTTAATTTGGGTGGCAATAACCCTTTTGGAACGTGTTCGGTGTCACCGCCGCTCTTTCCTCCCATTTCATTGAAGCAGCTAGCCTGTATTAAAAAAGAAAAAAGAAAAATTGTAGCAGCTAGCTACTCCATAACGTCCAATCAATAGTGCGATGTAATTAAAACAAATTATAAAATCATGCACGGTGATGGTTATTAGCATGCTGCACCTTCCTACCCATTATGGATCAATAATGCAAAGATGGGCCTAGGGGAAGTATTGGACCGGGTATGAAAGAAAATGGGCCAATAATGCAGTGAAAGTGACATGTTTATATTGAGTAAATGAAACGCACGACGTGGCCCGTGGGCTGCATCACCGGATTACCAGCGGAGGAGGATAAGAAGCTAGCTAATAAATATTGGCCCAATTGATAACCATTTAGCCTATAGTCCACAAATTTTCCCGGAATCTAACTCACTAAAGATTTTGGATACCAAGAGGAATTAAAAAAAAAAAAAAAGAGAGAGAATAAGCTGGGATAGGGCAAACAGCGACAAATTGCAAAATGATTGGTGCACAAAATTACAAGGCCATAGGCGCGGTTACTGTGGTTCAGCGGTGAGAATGAGGCAGCACCTTGCGGTTTACCACTCCAGTTCTGGAATTCTCCGTTCATCAATAATTTATCAACGTGCGCCCACACACAAGAACGGTGAAACTACTACTCTATCACCAAATTTATAACCATAATGAATTTCCGCACATAATGTATACCCACTTTAATGTTCCGCGCCCAATTTCCCCGGCCAGTAGCATTGCCCTCTATAATTGATGCCCCACAAAAAAAAAAAGTCATGTTTTTTGTCTCTCCGTATACCTTATCTCATTACGGGGACCGCGAACGTTTCTGGGTTTCTCTGTATGTTTTCAGATCCCTTTTATCAGTCAGTTTCAGGATCCCCATTGCAAGGCCGGGCCACGGTGACCAAGTTCAGATATGCTCTGAGCTGTGGAATATAAAGAGAGCAATCATGCCGCAGAAGTATTTATTTATGGAAAGAGTGCAATCAAGGCTTACATTCAATTCAATTATAAATTTGATTACAAGTATATTTCATGGTAAGAGAGCAATTAAATACGCTTTTGTGGACTGAATTTGTGTAAAAACAAGAATCAGATCCAGATTAACCATTGCTTGGCCTTTTATCGATCCTCATGTGGAGAAGTACGTATATAGGCGGCATATCCGGGGTAGCGTGAATTAGCTAGTTCACATCCAATTTCCATCATCATCTGGGACGCATAACAAATTGTTTGGTCTCAAACTTAAACTTCTACACATGGGAGAAGAAGTGGATATGCTCCAAATCACAGATGCAAGAATGACCGGAGAGTCGTTAAAGATTGGAGGAGGCAAGTGAGGAGTTCATGCAAGCGCCACAACATGCAAGCTTAATAATATATGGTTCTTAATTGTGAATTCCAAAACTTCAGTTCCTATATTGAATTAGCTCTTCCAATGTATAAATGATGTAATTCAGTTTCACGCTCAGACTCTTCACACTACTTCCCTGCCTCTTCCTCCTTTTTCAGCGTTGAAAAATTCGAATCAATTTCAACACAATCTATTTCTTATTACATGAGAGCATCGCGTAATGCTGTCCTGTATTAGTTGTCTCTTGATATTTATTTTTAACCAGAAATAAATAATAAACAGATAAACAGTGCTTCCTACATATACATGTGTGTGGTAATTAAAACAGACTATTTAAAAAAAAAAAAAATTTAGGCTCCAACCAGCTGCTTAAGAAGATTCGCCTCCTATGTTCTTCGCCCATAGGAAAATATCTTCGTTGATAATCAACATTATCCAATTAAATATATTGTTGTCCGTCCGATCAGTCTCAACCATTGGTGAGGGAAATGTGAAGACAGTGAAGATGGGCATGGGTTTGGAAGGTGCCCCGTTTTCTTCCGCCCCTATACTATATATCCGCAATATCTGTGATCTGACGCTAATTAATTTTTAAGCGCAGAGAAAGAAAGTGCAGGCTAGTTTGATTTTCCCATTTAAGGTATGAGTTTCATTTTCTTATCTTTAATTTCTGTGCATCAAAGCTTTCATGTGAGTTATAATATTCAGATCCATGTTCTTGTCATTCATGAATCTGATTATCACCTCCGAAATTCAACCGCTTTGATTTGAATTTTTTTATCATGCAATGTCAGATCACTGACACTAACGCTAATCAGTCTCCAGTCTCCACTCTGGGTGCATGCGTCAATTTCTCGCCTCTTGACGCACTCTGGATTCCTTTCTCATGAGCATCCGTATTATATATTCAAGATTGTGACTTACTTTAATATAATTAATGTGATGGTAAGCATATATTAATTTTTTCAAACAAATATATTTAAGATCGAGTTTGTGTAGTATCTAGGAATAAACTAAACAGTGTCTCATCGTCAAGTCAATTAACGCCTCATATTTGGCCTTCGTGCTTGTACTTCTAAAGGGCGAAAAGTCAGAGTAGAATCGCTATTTAGGAACGAACTAAAAAGAGAAAGATGGCTAAATAACATAGTTATTAGGGTGCAAATCTGCAAGCTATGATTTTGCGTGATATTTGACATTTATGTTTGGATGATGGAATTGTGCTGCAAGGATGGCAACAAAGCTATTTATTAACCACAGAATAAGCATGGTCAGGACAATCAACTATAGGTCTGTTTGGGATAGTAGTGAAAATCCTAATTAAAAAACTACTTATAAGCTGTTCAAAACAAACCTTATAATGTACGTACCACAAAGAAAGAAAAAAGGAAGAATAATGTGTAAATATGAAAGCTGATTTTAGGAATGCTGGCACAGGAAGAATCCGATCCGCAGGAAAATGGAGCTTTGCGCTTTCTTCCTCATTTCTATACCCACTCCCTCCTCTTCCTTGGTTCTTACCCGTTCACGCTTGTCGGTGGATTCTCTGCGGCTGGCGGGTCCCACCATCCTCTAATTACATGTCCTCCCGTTCCACTTCCATAAACTTCCGAGTAACATGGCCCTGTTGCCCCATTTTATATTACATGTGTTGATAAATATATAGTCCATATTTTGGTGTAGTCAAACAAAGCACTTACATGAATGGAATTTTTAACATTATCACAACCAAATGTATAAATATTTTTTTTAACAAGAATTATTTTTGAATTTGACGGTAATTGATTCCTTTAAATCTGGCATTAAGCGGCATAAATCTGAGTAACAAAACTTTTTCACCTGCAAGTATTGTGATTTAAGATAATTTATAGTATATATCTTTTATTCAGGACATAATTCTTCGTACGCATAATTTATTTCATCATAATGACTTCAACTCAATTAACTACCGCTCCACGACAAAGGGCAGTGTTCCTTATTTTTCTTTCTATTGGACCCAAAATAAAATGAAATTACGATTAGCGAGGGTTAACACAATGAGTGCATGTGCGGACCTTAAAATCTGATGGGGACAGGTCGTTAGCCACTCTTTACCAATCCACAGTTCATCTCACCTTCAAGGACGCCCCTTTTCCCCCCCTTCCATTCAATTCCCACAACCAATTCATTTACCATCAATAGTAAAACCCTCCACCGGTAAAAGCCACAACAAAGTATTGAGAATCGGAGGAAACAAGATAGTAATCATATTTATGAGGCTGATCGCGATTGTCAACTGGCTGGTTCTCCCTAATTAATTCGCTTTACAAAATCGTTTTGTTAATAATTGTCATTTAAATGTGACAAATGGCATCGTCGCTGAGGGGACTTCACACTCCCCCCGGGGGGGGGGGAGTCGATGTCGGTGACCGCGCACCAGTTTTGACGCCGCTAACATAGGCGATGTTGTGATAGCTCTGTGTGTGTGTACATGAATGTCTGTTTTCTTTTGGTTGGTCAGGAACAAAATATTCACGCCGAATTGTGTTTTGGTGAGTTAATGATGCAGAGGCCAGAGATATAGGTCCAGAAAACTATTGGACGCATCATAATTATTTCCCTGATCCTCTTTATATGATAGAGAAAGAAAATTTTATTTTTCTTTCTCCCATTTATAAATCATTTTATTAAATTTTTAACATTAATGTATTATTTTACCTTTTATTTATTATAGTATAGATAGTTTTTTTTTAAATAGTACATATATTAAATAAGGTAAAATTAAAAATTTATTATATTTTAATAAAAATTAATATATCTTAAATTTTTTTAATATTTGTAAATTATGTTGAAAGTGCCGTATAAATGATGTCGGAGGAATAATTTTGATGAGGGCGTGGCGGTGAGAATTTCTATGATCCCTCACATTACCAACTTCGTTCATTTCCTGGTGACCTCTTGGTCCGGTAACTTTTTGATTTTGCGCAGGTTAAAGAACCGAAAGTGGGCGTCGTGCTTTCATATAAAATATGAAAAATATATCACGATTCTTAAATAGTATGAAAAGTTCCTAGTTTTTTAACACCGTCGATATGAACTTTAATTTGCAACATGGGCGGATCACTGCATCGACAGTAGTATCCTTTGCTAATGAGCTTATAGCCTAACAACTTAACGATATCAATACTCTCTGTTTTATAGATAAGCTTCATTTTTGAAAAAAAAATTGGTCCAAAATATAAACTTTGTTTTTGAATTTGTCTAGTATTTATTATGTTTTTTTTCCTTATTTTGCTTTTAGTTGACTGTATTTAATACTCTATCTTTCTCATTAATATTATCCCATATATTCTTTTTCATCATTTTTTATTTATTATCTCTGTCATTTACTCTATTAATAAATAAGGATAAATTAAAAAAAAAATACATTTTTGACCTATTAATTACTTTTAACTAATTTTAATTACTAGTTTGTTAAACGTAATTCGATTATTTAAAGCTTATATATAGGACTGGACGGAGTAGCGAGCTTACGGTTTCAGTGTCGACGTCAGGCCATTATATTGGCTACCTCTTTAATTTTTTTTTTAAAAAAAAAAGAGAAAACCACAGTGTCCTCTTATGATTATGGCATCGTATCACTTCTCAGTTATTAAAGATGCTGGCGTGTATATAAATAGCATGAGTCATGCCTATTCGTGCAATTTATTACTTGTAGGAATTGTTAGGTCGGAACTTATACCTGATTCACGGACATCAACCGCTTAATATTTTAAGTTAGATGTTATTTATTTCTAATTAAATATGATATCGCACTTTGGGGAAAGAGCAAGAAAATATTTCCTGGAGGCGCTGGCTTTTTTTTTTTTTTTGCCTCCTCCGTCGGGGAGGTAATCTCATCTGTTTGGTAGGCCTTTTGGTGTCACAGAGAATTCACTTTCTATGTAAAGAGATCAAAAGAAGAAACGTTTGTGAGATTGCCACTAATCGAAGGCATATGTCTGGACGAATCACTTTTCATATACCACGCAAGTTACAGACAGAAATTTACAATAAAAAAGCGAGGCAGACTCAAAAAGATTGAGAAAAAGAGTCATTATTGCAAACATGAGGTGTAAAGAACGCTGTGGAAAGAATCAATTTTCTAGTGAAAATAATGCCAAAATCTAGCATCTAAATTTATCATTCTGTGGCCCGTAAAACTTTTCGAAGGTCTTTGAAGTTTCGTGGTTGCTGGGGCCCTTGACGGCTTGACGTAGCTTCGAAGCTTTTGGCGCACAGAAAGATGCCATAATTGATTTCTTTCTACGAAGATAGTAAGCTTCTGCGATATGGATAAGTTAGAATCCAGAGTTCAACTGTTTCGTCGTATTATAATCAGGCAGTTAGGCGCCTGTAACTTGCAGCTTGTCCTGCCGCTGATCATCAACGGTGCGTGTGTTGTGATTTTTTAAGAATTATGGACAGTGTCAGATTGTCAGTTGTGCTGGATTCGCATATATAAATCCTTGAACCTGCTCTATTTTTAAATTCAGATTTTTGGATGGTCTAGATTTTTTTTTATGCCAAGATTTTATTTTCTTAAAAAAGTTATTTTACATCGTGTAATTAATTACTGAAATGGAAATATAAAAGTATTAAAAAAAATCAACATACATAATGTGAGATGCGAAGAAGTGCAGATTAAAAGGGAAGAATTATTGAATCTAAATTCAAAACTTGAGGTGGACAAAAACTTAATGCCTGACTGTATTAGTTGGGACAGCTTTGTGATGGAAGATTGAAACTTGCATCAAGCGAGCAAGTAGAGTGGGGGAGCAATTGTACCCGTCTGCAAGAACACACAGATGAATATCTTCCATTTTGGCAAACTGTCACTGATCTCTCTGACTCTATACATCTTTCATTCCTCCCGCACATCGTGCATAATTTATTTTATTTTTCTGGGCGTCAACTGATTATAATACGATGTTTTCAAATGAGCACTTGAGTACCTACGCGGTTGGCTTTATTTGCGTGGTCAATACGATGTTTTCTTAGCTCGGTCACACACTTGTGCTGTGAAAAGATACGGTAAAGTAAAATCATAATGCACTCAATGATTGAATTAAAAAGGAGAGAGAAGGTTAGAATGAAGTGGAGGGAATACCAGAAAAGAGAGAAGAAAATAAAAAGCAATGGGGATGAAAAAGGGGGAGAGCAAATGAAGATAGCTTAATAGTTAAGAGAATCGTGCGACGTCCACTTTTTGGAGTGCTAAAGTGAGAGCATTACACAAATGGTGCGTTGGTTCAATATTGATCGAGTGGGGGCTTATGGCAAAAGGGAGAGAGAATGAAAACCAGCTGAAGAGAGTGTGCGGAGAGTGGGGGAAGTAGCAGCCAGCTAACTCTTATTATGACTTTGACATGCCACCGACCATCCTTTTCCCTCAAACACAGTACACTCTCTTCCCAACTCTCCATTTATATAAAGTCCCCCTCATTTCTATTTCGTTCCGGACACGAAACTCCCTACCACTTTCTCTCTCTCTCCCTCTCCCTCGCACATTGCCATGGAATTTGCTAGGATCGGACCCTCCGACCCCGGTGGCTCCTCCCGCCGCTCCGACGCTCCCATTATTGCCAAACCAACCTCTTCATCACCCACCACCTCCCCCTCCAATAAGAAGAAGCTCATCTTCCTGGCACTTGTTGCCGTTGTCTTAATTGTCGGCTCCGCCATCTCTGCTGGCATTGTCATCGGTGGCCGGTCCCGTGGCTCGGGCAAAAATGGGGTCGCCATCCGGGGGAAGCCCACCGAGGCAATTTCTCGGACCTGCAGCAAAACCCAGTACCCCAATCTGTGTGTGAACTCTTTGCTCGACTTTCCGGGTTCAACGACGGCAACGGAGGAAGAACTTGTCCACATTTCCTTTAACATGACCCTGCAGCACCTGAGCAAAGCTCTCTACACCTCCACCGGGATCTCCTACGTCCAGATGGATCCACTCGAACGATCGGCGTACGGGGACTGCCTCGAGCTCCTGGAGGATTCCGTGGACGCTCTAGCACGCTCCCTCGCCTCCGTCGCCCCCTCCGCGGTCGACGGCAGTATCAAAGAGGCTGGTTCCACCGACGATGTCATGACGTGGCTGAGCGCCGCGCTCACAAGTCAAGACACGTGTACGGAGGGGTTCGCGGAGACGAGTGGGTCCGTGAGGGATCAGATGGCCGGTAATTTGAAGGACTTGTCGGAGCTGGTGAGCAATTGCCTGGCGATATTCTCGGCGAGCGGGAACGAGGGCGGCGATTTCTCGGGGGTGCCCATACAGAACAGGAGAAGATTGATGGGAGAGAATAGTGCGGATGAGTGGGGCAGGAATAATCCGGGTAATTTTCCGAAATGGCTGAGCAGACGAGACAGGAGACTGTTGAGCCTGCCAGTGTCGGAGATTCAAGCCGATATTATAGTGTCCAAGAAGGGGGACGGAACATTGAAGACGATCGCGGAGGCCATCAAGAAGGCGCCGGAGCATAGTAGGCGGCGTTTCATTATTTACGTGAGGGCAGGAAGGTAATTAGCTTGTTTATTGAAGTAACCACTGCTCCTATCCTAATGATTCAAAGTCTCCTAATTATAATTAGGAACGAAGATACTATAATAATATTTGGGGTAGAATTTTAGAGTTATCTTTTTACACGACATAGCGAAACCGTCCGTTTCAGTGATGTCGTGTTTCATTTTGTTTGGACGACTGCTCGGGTGGATTGATGGTGAAAGGGGCCGACGATAAGAGAAGGAAAACAAAAAAGCGAGAGGGGGCGGGGGTGTGATGAGTTACCATCGTGTGAAAGCAATCTCTAGATTTCCAATCCCATAATTTAAGGTGAAAGGTGTCGTGATGATTGGTTCCTTGACTTTCATCAGGCAAGCGAACCGATCCCAGGTCACGCAGGATTACCGCTTATTGAGTGTAGATAGATGGCACTATTGATAAGTAGCTAGGTAGAATTTTTGGCAATTGACTAATATTTAAAAGTAATGTGATGATATATGTGAAACGGGATAAGGTGGCTAACGGAAGGGGAATGATCAGGTACGAAGAGAAGGATTTGAAGGTGGGGAAGAAGAAAACCAATTTGATGTTCATAGGGGACGGTATGGGCGAGACGATCATCAGGGGCCAAAGAAATGTTATGGACGGCCTCACCACATTCCACACTGCCTCCTTCGGTAAATTTTCGCTCACTATCCTCCCTTTCTTTGTTTTGTTCTTCGCCGTTTGATGTTGTTATTAATTCTTCTGCTTCGTATCCCATATGCTCCCAAAACATACAAATATATAATGACTCCATGCAATGCATTGGTTCTAGCCAGGTTGTCAGAATTCAACACTACTGTCCTTGCGGAGTCCTCATCCGACTCAAAACCCCGCGGACCCCACGTCTGTCGTGATCCTTGTCGGTCTTCCTCTTTAGCTGCATAATTTCCCGAAAAATGGTGCTTATAAAAAAATATTTAAGTGAAAACTAATCTATAATTCTAAAAATAATTTAATAACAACATACAAAATAATTATATAGGACGAGTTTTATTTTTGAGAAAAACCAAACAATTCCTAACACCAATATCCCTGCCCTGCATTAATTTCTCTAGCAGCTTCCAAATACAAAGGTTAGTTCACAGATAAAAAACTAAATAAATAATTCCATTTCATATTCTTACCAGCTCCTTCAGTCTCGAACTGTCACTGCCCGTGACTAGTTTGGTGTCTATTGGAATGTCACGCAACTTACATAAAGCTACTACATTTAACGCCCATTAACTAATTATATATTCTGTGTCAGTTCAAAGCATGCACACTTTTGGAATCTTACGCATTCTCTACTTTCATAAAAAAAACAAACCATCCACTCCCTGGTCTTATCTCCAGAGCACATATCCCTTCGTATTATAAAAGAAGGCCATCATGCGGTGCCAAGAACTTTTACGCCCAGGGCAACCAACCAAAGTGCTAACTGCTAAAGCAAAATTCTGGGTGGTGGGTCGTTCCACCCAAAACCTCGGCTCATCATTAGCCATTAACAAAAACTTTTCCGTCCGCCTAATTTCTTCTTGTGAGTGAAAATTAAAGCACTTAACTAATTTAACCTGTCCTGCTGCAGCTGCGACTGGCGCCGGTTTCATCGCGCGAGACATAACATTCGAGAACTACGCCGGTCCGAGCAAGCACCAAGCTGTGGCCCTCCGTGTAGGGGCCGACCACGCGGTGGTTCACCGCTGCGAGATCCTGGGATACCAGGACACATGTTATGTCCATTCCAACCGTCAGTTCTTCCGCGAATGTCGCATTTATGGAACAGTTGACTTTATTTTCGGCAACGCTGCGGTTGTTTTCCAAAACTGCAGTCTCTACGCTCGGAAGCCGATGGCCCAGCAAAAGAACACCATCACGGCCCAGAACCGAAAAGACCCGAATCAGAACACGGGCATATCCATCCATAATTGCCAGATCCTTCCCGCCCCGGACCTTGTGTCGGAGAAGGGGAGCGTCTACACCTATCTTGGCCGTCCGTGGAAATTATACTCTAGAACTGTGTATATGCTATCATTCATGGACGATCACATACACCCACGTGGCTGGCTGGAGTGGGACGCGTCATTTGCTTTGGACACGTTGTACTATGGCGAGTACATGAATTATGGGCCGGGTGCTGCTATTGGAAATCGTGTCAGGTGGCCGGGGTATCGGGTCATCACCTCACCTTTGGAGGCAAAACGGTTCACGGTGGCAGAATTCATATCTGGCTCCTCCTGGCTGCCGTCGACGGGAGTGGCATTTTTGGCCGGGCTGTCTACTTAAAACCAGGGAAGGTTTGGCTTGTGTCGTGGTCCAAACACACTCATTGGCAGCAACTCTATTTGCTTAGAATCTTAATTCTTAGATGTACTTAGTTAATATAGCTTTTCGGGTCTAATTGTTAATTTTTTCAATGATGTGAGAATAAATATGCTGTAAACAGGGATAGGTGTTGTAATCTTGGCATGACTGAAGTGTTATGCATTTGACACACAGCAGTTGTAGCAATAAGGAGGGAAAAAATGGCAATATTATAATTTCAGAAGGTTAACTTGTTCGTCCAATTCTGCTCACACCACGTGGATTGCGTGGCCCACTATTGAAGCTCAGATTAATGAGCGTTAACGGCGCGCGTGATTGGTCCTTGACATGGAAGACCAGCTCGGAGGGGCCGAAGGGGCCCCCCGCTTTGCTGGCATCATTTGTATTTGACAGTCAACATTACAATTTTACTGTTATATTTTTTTTATTAATTATTGACATATTTGTCTTCGAACGATCGCATTCTGTCAGGAAAGTAGATGGGTTCCATAAAATTTGTATCTTCTCCATCAATGCTTCCTCAAATGAAGAATATTAACGATCAGAGTGTGATATGGCGGGATTGAGATTGAGAGAGGAGTTACAGATTAAGTTTTTTAAAAAGTAACAACGTTTTTAATCATAACTCCCTCAACGCCATTAGATCATGATCAAACAATTAATAATTTTCAGTTGAGGCTTAATTAAAAGAGCTCAATTGTGGAGATCCAAATCTGAGTTTCACATGTATAAGCGGACAATATAAGTAAATTGGTTAGAAAGACTTTTGGGTTTATGCACCTAAACTTTGCTCCCCACCTTGCCTCCCCTAAGCCAGCTCCATCCAATCTTGACTATCTTCCGTGCACACGCAGAAAGTGATTAAATATTTAAAAGTATATATAAAGGAGCACTAAATACCTGAAATTTTTTTACTCTAATATGTACTAAAAGTTTATTTTTGTAATAAAAAAATATTCTAACGATTATTCATCGTTAAATTTGACCGTTAAATTATGTAATTTGATCGATACATTTAATAGTCAAACTTATCACTGCATAACAGTTCAAGATATAAACGCTATAAAATAAAACTTTCAAAGCATATAAGAAAAAGGAAAAAAAAAACTTTCCAATACTGGGTGTCTTTTTGTATATACTTTCTGGAATTTAAGCTACTTATCACATTTTCCATACTACCAATTGCTTGCCCCTCTCCCTTCTCACTTGCTTCGAAAATCATATCGAATTTCTTAAAATTATCTTTAACCAATTTTTGTTACTTTGTGCTTCTGCTAAAGGTCAGTTGTGTTGATTATCCTTACAATGGCATTAAAACTAAAATCGCAGTCTCGTCAAAATTTAACATCAATTCAGTCGGCTCAGCAAAATATTACTGCAATGTTATGGTGTAATGCCCCCCCCCCCCCAAAAAAAAAAAAACAGGCAAAGCAAAAACAATGGGCAAGAATTCCGCTATATAAACAGTGCTAGCAGACTCAAATGTAATTCTCTGAAGTCATCGGAAGACTTGCATGGTAGAACCCATTCCTCCGGGGAAGTTCATTTTGTGGCAGTAATATCAATAGCACCTTGTCCCAGTGGCAAGCACCCCTCATTACCTTTTTCATCAGTTTAAGCATTTTGCACAAAATGTCATTTGCTAGTCAAACTAGTTCATTACCAAATACCAAGAGGTCCACAGTCCATCATCCTTTATATAGGTCGGAATTTGAAAGAATATTAAATGAACAAAAGTTGAACAAAGTTTTACCCGGACTCCAAATAAACTGAACACCCGAGATATAATATCTGAAGGCCCTTAACGATTACCATTTTTATGAAGATGAAATTCAGTCTCACAAAAGGAATGGAATTAACTAAAGGCCTCAAAACCAACAAATATGTAATGTGGTAATTACAGAGGTAAACCATAATCAGGCGAAAAGAAACATTTCTTGTAATTATTATGAACAGAATCTAATGGGGCCACGTGAACAGGACCAAAGATGCAATATACACAAGCTCTTACCCTACAGATTCTTGTCTATGAAGTCCCAGATCCTCTCCTCCATATAAACTCGGTCTCTGTGACGTCTGGGCAAGTGGCGCTCGTCTGGAAAAATCATTAGCTCATAAGGTTTTCCAGCCGCGATAAGTGCATTGACGAGCCTTGCAGTGTGCCTAAAATGAACATTCTCGTCGATCATCCCATGCACAAGCAACAAGCGCCCTTTCATCCTGTGCACATGGTGCATCACAGAACCGCTTTCGTAGCCTGTTCGATTCTCAGACGGCAGTCCCATGTACTTCTCTGTGTAAAATGTGTCATATCCATCCCATGACGTCACGGGGGCACCAGCCACAGCACACTTGAAGAAATCTGGAAATCTCGACAGGGTCATTGCAGACAGATACCCGCCATAGCTCCAACCATACAAACCAATGCGGCCGTGTTTTGCAAGCCCTTGTTTAACGAGCCATTCCGCTCCACCTAGCTGATCATCAGCATCAATTTGACCAAGACAGTTCTTTATGTAGCCTTCAAACTTCAATCCCCGTCTAGCCGTTCCTCTATTGTCCAACTATAAACAAGAAAGTAAAGATCCATATTAAGTTAGTACGGATTATGTATTCAAGGATTGATAAGAAATAAGACGTAAAAGCAAGATTTTCATGCTCCATGATTAAATAATGCTTGAAACAGTTCTGATCAGAATTACTGATGAGAGGAAGGACATTTAGCATCTGACAGGCATGTCACAAGACAATTCAGTGCAGTGTGCCTAACTCCATCTTGGAAAAGTTCCATCAAGTGGTAGAATTATTAAGCAAGATAACAAACTTGCCAAATGTAAATCAATAAATAAAACAAACTGAACATCAAACCATATTTAAGTTAAAGCAATTCAGATTTCAGCATTCTCACCTTCCAAACTAAGATGCCCTGGTTTCGCAAATATTGTGCTCTCATGTCAACTGTACTGATCCAAGAATTAGAAACAAGCTGCACACTTGGACCCCCATAAACATGGATCATAGTTCTGTAAGGCGGAGGTCCAAATCTTGATGCATCTGGCGTATATAGGGCCCCATATAATGGGGTGCCATCTTTAGCCTGGATTTCCACCAGATCTGGTGGCTTGAGTGGAAGCTTTTTGAATCTTGGCGTTGTAAGTGGCTGCTCATACAGGGGCATGATTATGCTTCCATTGTCCAATGAGCAAAGTAACACCCTAGGAGGACAATCAAGCGCATCATGAATATCAACGAAATTCTGCATACGATGATCAAGTACCACAATGTGCTTTCCCTTGCTATGAGTAAGTCTAACAGGGGCATGCAGTGGTTGACTTCCATCCACACCGAGTTTAGCACAGTATAAGTTAGACTCCAAAGGCCCATCTAAGGTCCCAGTGAAATATACTAGACCTGTAGCCTCATTCACACCGGCTATTTGCTCAACCATCCATTCACCTTCGGTGATGGGTCCTAAACAAGCCCCATTCGCATCATGAAGATAAAGGTGTCTAGATCCTGTTTTCTCACTAGCCCAAATAAACCCCCCAGAAAACTTGGTAACTCCTTTATCAAGAGGGGTGAAACAGTCATGCACATTGACCCATGTGCTGTTTTCTTCCACCAATAAAGTCTTCCTCTGACCAGTTCTGATATCAAATTTAAGGATCATCATTTTCGTTTGGTGCCTGTTCAAGACCTGGGCTGTGAGAATGTTCCCATGCATCCAATTGATTCTTGCCAAATATTCTTCCTCATTATTTTGCTGATCCATTCCCCCACAGACAAGATCCATCCAAGTAGTGGATCCTCCAGCTACCGAAACAACACCAAGACGAACTTTAACATTTGAAGCTCCTGCAAAAGGATACGGATGGTCTTCCTGTGCCTCTGAACCAACTGAGCTTTTGCCTTGGTGCATAATTCTAAAAAGTGGTATTTCAGAAGAATCAACTTCAGTGAAAGCTATATATTTACTGTCTAGTGACCACCAATATCCAGTTTTCCTGTCCATTTCCTCCTGCAGTCAGCAAAATTTTAAAACCCGAGCATAATGTTGAATGTGCTGACGATGAAAAGGTAAATAATTAATCATTTTAGAATCAAGTCATTATTTCACTTAAGTCACCCAAAAGTATGGGATCATAGGACTGCTTCCCATAAAGGGGACAATGTGCCCAATTTTCATTTAAAGAAGTCCATCAAGATGATATTAATACAAGTGGAATCTCACCTGGGCTATATATTCAGCAAGGCCATGAGTCTGCAATATACCCAAAAAATAGAGTCAATTTTAAAGGATGAGAATGCTAAAATGCTAGTATAAGTAGATTTAACGACCTGGTTCAAATCCAACAACCGTACACAGTCATACGAATGATCGGAAAACAGCAATAACAAGCCAAAACCCATGAATGGGCTAGAGTATTTTGATTTTCAACATTTCTCAATATATTATGATATCTTTGTAAGTATGAGTAAGCTAATTAATTAGCAAATAAATATCACTGAAGCCTACCAGCTAGCGTACTATATGGTGAGTATGAAGAAAACCATCATTGGACTTCCAAATTTGTATGATCATGGCCAAAGATAACAAAGCGAAGCTTAATCAACAGCCATTGGAATGCTTATTAAACAGTATTTACACACTTATGACAAAGGTGTGGCTACTTCGAAGCAGACAGTTTGCATTCTCAATATCCTAATCTGGAAAAATGAAAGGATTATCCACAGCATTATTATTATTTTTTATGATCCATAACACATTTGGTTACTCTAATGCAATACTCTAATACAATAAAGATCAATGAAATTTAGAACTCACCAAACCATTTTCCTTGGCACCATGGGTCAACTGCTTTGATTCATTAGACAACAGATTCAGAACAAACAATTCACAGTCCTGTACATAGGCAATCATTGACCCATCTGGGGATAGACGCGGATCAATAATAGGGGAAGCTGGTATGCTTGGAAGCTTGAGCTCTGCTTTTGAATAGGACATGTCATGGATGTAAATCTGTTCGAAAGGCAATTATCACAAATTCATAATAAATTAGACCATTTCAAACTCATGATTGATTAAAATAAGAAAATAGAAGCACAAACTTCTTTCAGTCTAATAGACAACTTGCTCAATACCCAGCACCAGCAGGGTGAGGAATGTTAGTTATGGGATTTGTATATATAGACAGCACCATACAAGGACACTTGTTGTCACCGATTGTTTTGATGGGGCAGAAGTTATTACAAGTTTACGACTGCCTTTGAACACGAGAAGATACAAGAAGCTCAATTCTTGAAAAATTGAACATGAAGATAAATTAATTTCAAATGGATATAGGCATATAGTGGAGAATCTGAATTGGTTCTGATGTGTTTCAACTCATTTAATATTGTTTGTGACATGATAAACAACCCTCCACTAACAACAAGCATTTCAAGCTTGAAATAAACAATCCGAGTACAACATCTCAATATGAATGGTTTGTACTAAGCAATATGTGTTTTAAGGGAGTCAACATCACAAGTAAAGAAAGTGATAAAATATTGGCGACAGCAAGGTGGCATTTCGAGAGAAATACATACATACATATGTGTGCAAGGGTTAATTTTCTCTTCGCACCAAGTAAGCATGAGAAGCATAATATATATATATATATATATATATATAAAATATCCAAACATGTTATTTTGCTTTTCCGGAGTTAATTTCAAGACGCACACTAAATTTTACAGATACATAGAAATTAAGAAACAAATAAGATAAAAATAAATTTAAGGCTATTCCAGAGACAAGGGAACAAACCCCAGTAGGCAAAGGCACCATGATCGCTTTCCTTTTGGAACTTGTATTCACCCATTCATATCGTGTCACCCCTAATCCACGCTCCCTCAACCTCTCCCTCCTTAACTTTTCTTCCGGAGATATATTACTCTCATCGAGCCCGCCATCATGGGGACTAAATAACAGTTCTTGTTTAGATGTCTTCAGATCAAAAGAGAAAACCTTCCTATTCAATGTGTTATCAGGACTGAATAAATACGCAATTAAATGATCATCAGGGCTGAAACTTATTGAAGACGGTGTGACATATCCTGGTAGTGGGTATTGTACAATCTCTTCAACAGGGAAAAGGCTGTTATCATCAAAATTTTGGGCATCGTGAAAGTCTGTCAACGGCATGTTGAAAGGCGGAGATCTTGAACGCTTCAGATTTTTCTTGTTGTTCACATCAACTGATTGCATTACGGATACACCACCATGAATGAGATTGAACTGCAACAAAGCAAACAAAATGAGAACAGCATCCAGAGAAAATAATCGACAGTTACAAATATTAGAAAAATAACATTTGATAGAAAATCACTGAAAATAAACTAAAGGGTTTCTCAGCAGTCCAATTTGGATATGAATTTATTCACTGTCGAGCCTGACTAGCGTGGTTGAAAGTTGAAACAGAAATATCAGAACATTTTTCTTACCCTTTCCTTTCATAATATGAGGGACAGGACATAAATTTATTACAGATTGTATTTATATTCTACAAACTGACTCCGGAATCGAATCCGCTCTTCAACCTAACTCCTCGTTCAAGAAGTGAAAGGAAACGACACTAAAGAAAATGGGCATAACTTGATGCTCACGGACACCAGAAAGCATAAATTTTAGCTATTTAAATGTGAGCTTCTCCTTTACATAAATCTTGTGCAGTAGCACGAAAAGGAATATTTTAAGACGCGCCAAGCTCTACGAAAGAAAATGAAGCCCAAAAACAGAAGTATCGACTTCATTGGTATCCGCTTCATCCATCCACAAGACTCAAATTTACAAAATCTATTTAACGATCCCGCACTATCCTCTTCTGACCCATTGGACCATTTCCTCTCAAAGGGACCGGAGAAGCCCGGTTGAAGTCCAAAACAGATCCCAAAAGACCATGTTTGAGCAGAAGCAGAAGCAGAAGCAGAAGCAGAAGCATTTTAAAATCAAAATGGAAAAGCTTACCTGACATTTGTTATTTTCAGAAATATTATATACATATAAGTTCACTATCAGAACTCTCAACTTCTCGCGTTTACCCACTGGATCCGATCGCCGACAATGGTACTAACAGGAAATAATGTGAAAGGCAACTAGTTTTGAATTTATTTTAATGCACTAAAACTGAATCAGTTTCGTTATTAAGGATGAAAAGTCAGATTCTAACCTGAGGAGAAGACGGAAAGGATCTGCCATGAAAATGAAGGAATGCTAATAGGAGTGTCTTTTTTTCACCGCGATATGTTGAGTGCTTAGAGAAAGTTGGGTAGGGAATCAGAGATACAAACGAAGTCGACTTTGTGCTAGGGAAACGCTAGGGCGGAGAAAGAGCGGGGCAGATAGCATCAAAACTGGTGCTGGTGGCGTCGGAGCTCGATAGATTGGGAAGGAACCTGAGACTTGTTCCATTTAAATTTTATCAAGTACAATAAATATTAAGATATTGCCACGAAATAATAGAAAAAAGCAAGGACCTGTGCCCTGTTTGTCCTGTACGCGCCAAAACATTGCATTCAGACTATGTGGAGGGAGCGGGGCACCTCCTGTTTTGCCGAATGCCGATTCTACGCCTAGTCAGCTGTATGTCTTGTCCAAGCAAAATATTTTTTTTTGGGGATGCCTAGCAAAATACTTTTAAAAAAAATGACCACAAAATACTATATAAAAAAAATAGGCATCTAAATAAGTAAAATGGTCAAATGAGCGTGAGATATTGTTCTGGAATTTACACTTTTGATATAAAGACTGAAATGCCCTGATATTTTCTCAAACTGAAGAGTATATTCGTGCGATGGAGAAAGGGAGAAATTGACTTTCTCCACTTGACGAAACTAAATCTAAGTTTCTCTAGTCATCGAAAAGAGTTCTCTGAAATCATATTGCCGTCGTCGCAGGAGTAGATTGCCGTCGTTGAAGTTGGTTATTGTCATTGAAGTACATTGCCCTATCTGAAATAACTCGTACTCTCTGAGATTGTCGCTATCAAGGAGGTTGCTGAAGTAACACCAACTGTGATATATAGATAGAAAGCTTGAATGTGTTCCCCATAGAGCATTTTCGATGAGTCCCCAGGACTTAAAATATTATTGTCTGGCATCCTCTTTCTAGTTTTGTCTCTATTTTTCGCATAAAACTGTTTTCAGGAAATGTGAAGCTGCTTGATTTCCTAGTATTATTAAACCATTTGCCCTGAATTTTACAAAATACATACTGAGACTTACAACTTTCGTAGTGAAAGTGACCACTTTGCTAATGGGTTTAGCAACCTGTTTTCAAGAGATAAGCAATTTGTTTCTAAAAACCAATAAAATTCTACCCTGAATTTTACAAAACACATAGTGGGATTTACAATTTTCATAGTGAAAATTACCATTTCTTCAATGGGTTTTGTAACTTGTTTTTAAGGGGATGGGCAACTTGTTTCTAACAACCAATAAAATTTCATACTGAATTTTACAAAACACATAGTGGGATTTACAACTTTCACAGTGAAAATAACCACTTTTTCAATGGGTTTTGTAACCTATTTTCAAGGGATGGGCAACTTGTTTTTAAAAACTAATAAAATTTTGTGCTAAATTTTACAAAACACATAGTGAGATTTACAACTTTCATAGTAAAAATGACCATTTCTTCAATGGATTTTGCAACCTGTTTTCAGGAGATGGGCAACTTATTTCCAAAAACCAATAAAATTCCGTGATCAATTTTACAAAACACACAGTGAGATTTACAACTTTTATAGTGAAAATGACCACATCTTCAATGGGTTTTGTAACCTGTTTTCAAGGGTAGGTAATTTGTTTGTAAAAACTAATAAAATTTCACGCTGAATTTTACAAAATACATACTGGATTTACAACTTTTGTAATAAAAGTGATCACTTTATTAATGGGTTTTACAGCATATTTTTGGAGAATGGACAACCTGTTTCTGACAGCCAATAAATTACATGTTGAATTTTACAAAACACATAATGGGATTTGTAACTTTTATAATAAAAGTGACTACTTCTTCAATGGGTTTTGCAACCTGTGTTTGGGGATGGGCAACATGTAAGCATAGATAAACCATTTAGTGGACGTGCACCTGAAATACATTACGGTAAACATTGAACCATTAACTTTTATAGTTAACTACGTGTGTAATGAAACGTACCATTCACATAACAATATTTACCAAAAACCAGCAAATATATGACAGCAGTTCCATTATGTAATTGCTTGCCACCATTTTTTGATTTAGGCTACATCATTAACCACATACTGAATATAAACCCTCGAACATGATAATCCCGTCTCCATTTCATCATGAAGCAACCCCTAAAATGAACAACCCAAACCCTACTATCAACTTCCACTCACTTACGTAATGCCACAGGTTCACTTCTTCTCTTACTATAAACCCTTTTACCCACAACCAAAACTCACCAAATCAACAATGTCTATAGAATGGTGATGCAAAGGAGTAAGATAATAACATTTCCAAATACTATCAACTTAAACTTACTTCCAACATTTCTCTTTCTTTTTTCACATGTTTCATCAATATCTTCTTCCTTTTACTTTCTTTTCAGCTTCATATTTTTTTTCTCTCACTCCATAGGCATTTCAGTCTTTACGTCAAAAGTTAAAATTCCATATTGATACTTCATACCCATTTGGTCAATTTGCTTATTCAGATAATTATCTTGTGGTCATTTTTTCTACTTTTAATTGCCTCGAATCCAAGCCACAAAACAAATGGAATTTAAACATGGATAAATATTAAGAAGAAAAACAAACCTACGCAATCTCATTTTAAATTTGGAAAAATTTTGAATAAATTCGGTTTGAAAAATTTATTAAATCAGTAAAACTTTATGAAAAATGAATGATCATAGACATAGCGCTCTTAATGAAACACAAGAAAATGAATTAAATACGAAAAAAAAAGTGAAGTTATTAGTAGAGGTGGTAATACGAGCTGGCGGTGCGGGCTGGCATTTTGTGAGCCCGAGCTTGCCAAGGCGGGCCAGCTCGCCTACATATTCTTTTTTTTAAAATAAAAACTATTATTATTAATATAAGTTGAACTTAATTTGAAATGTTAAAATTAGACTTCGAATCTTGAATTTGAGTAGTGAGTTATGATAAAATAAAGTGAAGATTAATTTATAATTTAAGAATATATTTTTAAAAACTAATATATATTTTTTATAAATAATTAATTTAACTAGTTTTTTTTATTCAAAGTAATTTAGTTTTCTTATCCAAATTAATTAAGTAGATATTTTATGTATAAATGTATAAGTATCACATGTTTATTTAATTTTATAAAGGCTTTTATAGTGACACAACAAATAAATGAAAAATAAAAGATGGACGATGATCTTCGTATAACTACACACAGAATTACAAATATATAAAGTGTTTAATTACTTATGCAATGATATGAAAGAAGCAATGTTTAATTGTTCACGTGGAATTTGAGGGTCAAAATATTTTAACTATATTAAGAATTATATGAAAATTTTTTTAAAAAAAAGCGAGCCAGCCTGCCAACTCGCGGGCTTGCCTGTGGCAGAGCAGGTTCAAAACGGTGCGGGCTGGTATATTGCTAACCCGAGCCCGCCTTTTTTGGTGGGCTAGCGGGCTGGGCAGCCCGCGGGCCCAACCTGTATTACCAGTTCTAATTATTAGCCAGTTAATTTCTTAATGAAAGGTTTATTCTCAATTTTCCTATAAATATATATGTATATATATCATATCAGGCTTTAGAACACCTTCGTAATCGTACATAAAGAGGTCGAAGTTTTTGAATTTAAGGCATGGCTAGCAAAACCTATAGGATCTCTTTATGTTTTATCCCTTGAAAAGAAGAGGTATATATTAATGTAATTAGATTTAAGATTATAGTCTGTAAAATGACTTTAATAGCCTTAGGTTTTATGATATAGAAATAACGTCAGCTGGCGCCGCAGGCACACGCCCTTGCTTCCGCGTCATCCTTAATTTTCCTCAATCCTCAGGCGCTCTTACTCTCATCCAGTCACCGTCATCGTCATCGCCATCGTCGCATTTTCCCTCACTGGAATCGAAGCTCTCAAGCTCTCGTTGTAAAAGCGACCTATTTCTCCCGGTTTATTTCACCGAACGCGGCATGATCTGTCCCTAACCCTAACCGTGTGGTAAAAGAACGGGTCATTTAATTATTATTAAATAAATATAATGCATGATGCATATATAAGATTAGCTTCCCTTGCAATGCCACGCGGAGAAAGTTCGAGGGCTTTTCGCCTATGACACAACCTCTGTTTACCATTCTGACCAGTGCCAAGGAGCCATGTGACAAGCACTTCGGCTTTGCCGGTTGCGAATTGAAATGACCCGCCTGCCATCATTTTACTCCGTCTTATCACCAATGAATAACAATACTCCCTCCTATCCTCTCCCTAAATTTGTTAAAAAAAAGTGCCACACTTTATAAACTTTAAATATTATGCGTTTTTTTTAAATTATTATCCTCTCCTTTTAATTATAACTTATTTATTATTTTTAATTAATTTTAACTTATTTTTTATACATAAATTAGTTATTTAAACTTTATAATGAGAATGAGAGAGGAAGTATCAATATTATATGATTAATAGAGGAATTTTTTCGGTCTCATGATATAATGCCCTCTATTAGTTTCAAGGGAAATTTATATTTGAGAATTCTAACCTCACAAAATTTTTGTACCTTCCTTGATCTTTAGGTTAAGATTAAATGCGAGCTAACTCAGGCGAACATTACAAAAAAATAAGGTAAGCCTGCGAACTTTACAATAATAAAAAAAAAAAATTCAAAGACCAAGTTGCATGGTATACTATATTCAGTGACGGACCAGTGAAGCATTTTCTCGGCAACACCGGCTTCCTGCGCTGACCGCCTCTTTCTTTACTCTGAAACCGAGGACTCTGAACTCCGGCCAAAATATTGAAAATAAAGCATTCCCCAATTCTAAGTTTGGTCCACATGCGAAGACGATCAGACATTAGGTGTAGGCGATTTATTAAGTATAATCGAAAGTTTTAGTTAAAAATAATAATAAATAAATAAATGTCCAAAGACTCTGAGTTTCTGACGCCGCAAGAGCCATAAAAAGCAAGGTGGTTGACTCGGTCTCACGTGTCTCTTTCGATATGCAATGCAACACAAGGCCTTGCGCTAGCAGAACAATTCATGTCATAAAAAAAAGCATTCTTTATGGCTGATCCCGCTTCAAAGAATCGCAAAACCAAGTCCTTTCAAGTTCGGGTCGGGAACCATTGGTGAAATTCCGTTGGATATCTTTGTCAACGCAGAAAACGGTGATCCCTTGATAAGAAATATCAAAGGAGATCGAAGATGAAACGAAAATCTCAGACCTCTGAGTCTTCAACTTCTGTTGTCTCCACAAAACTTGGAAACGCTAAGGTTATATCCCTGCAAATTGGGAGAACAGACATGCAAGCTAGCTCGTCACGAATCATCAGTGCCCTCTCAAATTCGAGTTACTGAAGGAAACAAAAGTTTACGGACATCTCCTATAGGTAAAGCCTTATACCCACATTAAGTAGGGAAGGTTCATGTTCTTCATCAGAGATGGATGTTTTGAGACAAATGCCTTCCACTCCTCTTGATCAATCCTTCCATCACCTTTTGTGTCAGCATCACTAAATGTCTGCGGAAGAAGCAACAAATCCTTAGAGTTCAGTCAGTTCAAAGAAGATCCGAAGTTAACAGGGCGAAATTGTATGCACACCTTATCCACAATGGTTTCGACCATATCGTCTGACAGTACAAGATCTGATTCGTGTAGAAGCGCCAATACCATCTCCTTTAGCTGCAGATAGATGATTATCACTAAGCTTGGGAAGTGGAAGGTAGATAAGTTTCCAAATTATGCTTGCAAATGCGGGCGTGATTATTGTTGTTATGGGGGAAAAAAAGCCGAGTAATATTTCCACCATAAACTGCAAAATTGCAACTGATTTCATGTGATTTAAGGAAATCAAAGAAAACCATACCTCCTCACGTTCAATATATCCCGTCTGTCTCAGATCATACAACCTAAAAGCAACTGCAAAATGGTTATCCACAACTTAACAGATGATATAGTATCATATAGATGACTGAAAAGCACTCATGCCATCTACACAACGCAATATGCTCTCAGGTATAATTATTTATATACTTCTGGCACAGAGACCAATAGAAGAAACTAAATTAAGATTAGAATGAAATCTATGCAAAGAAGAATCAATCTTACAAGTAATCTTGTCTTCCATAGGTGCATCCGGGTGAAAAACACCCAATGATCGAACAAATTCCCCAAATTCAATAACCCCATTACGCTTGGCATCAAATAAGTCAAAAACCTATAAAGAAGCACAAACAAGATATATGTTAAAGGGGCAGTAAAGGCCAGAATTCGAGTCTTGCTAATACACCTCTTTTTTAGCATCAATTATTTTGATAAGATCCAAGAATCCTTTAACAGCAGAGCAAGGGTGACATTTACACACCCTGTCTGCAAACAGATTTCTCTTGTTTTTATTCCTGAAGAGCGCCAGCTGGAATTCTTCCTGGAAGGAAAGATGATATGGAAGTTAATTATCTGACAGAAATTCAACATCCAGCTTAGATTCATCTAATTTAAAGTAAGATTTTTTTTACCGGAAAATAATTTAAAGTAAGATAAGGACTCGTAAGTGCATCTGACTCACCTTGTGAATAAGACCATCTTCAATAACGGAGTTGCTCAACTTCTTATAGAGCTCATGTAGCGCCTCCACTTCACTCACAGAGACTTCGAAGAGGAAAAGATGAAATTTACCTTTCGTCAGTAGAGTACATTTAAAACAAAAATTTTGATAGGAATCAAGAACCAGAACTCTCAGCAGGCTTTAGAATAACGTGAAAGCCTGCAGGTGACGTTACAGATAAATGTACTGATAACTACATTGATATTTATTATGATTGCCAAAGCGAGCATGATATATAACTATTCTTAATTTAAAGCGAAGGACTCCTAACTCTGTAGCTGCAAGGCTTTACCAGTGTGATGATGGATACTCACAAGGTGTCTCTGCAGCAAGAACAGTGGGATCCTCGTAACCAGCTGACTTAGCTTTCCTTGAACAAACGCAGCCCATTAAGCAGAACTATAAAATTCCGTTGAAAATTTTTGGGCAATCAACTGACTTAGATTCATTCCAAAGAACGCAGGAGATAGATTCGGGTTTGAATACCTGCAAGGATATTGGAACTTTTAAATCACAACCCATCCTAGTTATACGAGCTAACAGAGATAAAAACGCCTAAAACTATGCTTTACACAATGAGAAAGCTACGAGCAACGTCACATAATTTGGGAAAGGATCAAAGATTCATGCTTGGTCACTGGTTAACCGTTATGCTTGCAGGATGACCGAATGAGCTAACACGTAAGACTACAATCTGAGGGCTGCTTATAGAAAGGAACAAAATGTTCAAGCTTAATGCCAATTGCTCTTCCGAATTATCTTTTTCTTTTTGTGGCTAAACTTGCGAATTACAGAATAGGTTTTATTTATAAAGTGGAAAACAATCTACGACCTTATGACACACATTCTCCAAGCTGAGCTTCTAATCATCTACAGGGACAAGTTGGCTCACAGTATTTCACTTTCGTCTGACTGTTCAAAAAAGTCAAGGCAGAGTAGGAAGCAAAAAAGCATCATTTTAGGAATTAGGAGTGCGTCCTTAAGTTTTTCCACTTATCCTGAGGCTGCCTAGTGCAAACAAGATATGCAAGCAGATCGAATTAAGAAAACTTTTCAAGAACAAGAGAACATTGTAAATTTCAAAGCTAATACAAACAAAATAAACAGAGATAAGGTAAGCAGATCTGTCCTTTCCTAATTAAATATTAAAGATACCGGGATTTCTTACAATGTCATACCGTCGACTTGGGAAACAAATACAAGAGTCCAATAGTATACCAGTATTATATTTTCTAAATTAAGTTTATAAATACAGATGTGGAAACTGATTTGTGGACATCACATGACTCACTAGAATAATAAGTTAGGCTCATACGTAATTTTTTTAAACTCCTTCAATTTCCAAGAAGTATAAAGCACGGAACCACGCCTCATATTTTTAACTCATTAAAAGATTTGAGTTGGCAGAGTGTATATTTTCCTATAAATGACGAAAGCTAGATTCGGACGCCGTCTCATCAAAGTAAATAAATTAAATAATACAATTACGTGCGCGCGCGCGCGTCATAGCAACAACTACAAGTGGGAGGAGAAAATAAACTTCCATGGATTCCGGTAAAAAAAAAAAAAAATCCATGGATCACAAATCAATGGCTGGCATTGATGTAAAATTTTTTCATCTCAAAATCGAGAAAAATATTTATTGTATATTTATACTGACTTTTCGATAACTTTGGCCATGATCTTGTAGCATGAAAAATCTGTTCCCTAATAAAAAACACGTCTCTACTTCTCCCTCTTAGATACACCACGGAATTATTTCACTTCTTCCTCAGTTAAACGATAGAAAATCTTGACCAAAAAAAGGAACGACAGAAAATCAACATTTCACTTGCTTTATGTGATTCTGGTTGTAAACCCGCCAATCAAAAACGGATCCAAACGTGACATTCACTGAATCTAATCATTGTGAACTTTGTGCCTGTTTGGATCATGGAACGTTTCACATAAATTAAGAGAAAACTCTTCTTACATATTTATTTTATATTCTGTAAATTATTATTTAAAAATTACTTATAAACTGTTCTAAACGGATCCTTTATCATCTGGCCAAAAAATTATCATTTTCTTGATCAGAAAAATCAGAATCAACTCTGAATTGCATCCCTTCAGAAGTGCTGCAGTTAAAACTCAGAAGCAGAGCCTCGAGAGCAGAAGAAGAATCTACAAATTAACCAAGCCCTTCGTCTTCTTGCTTTTTTTTTTTTTGGGGCCTACCGAACCCTCCTGAAGATCGTGTTGTAAGGACCTACTTCTGGATCTGTTTTTTTCGTTTGGCGAAGATTAAGAAATTTTTGAAATAAAAATGAAATACCAGTTCTCAAGCAATTTCAAAAGCAGATAACCATCCGAATCCTATGGTACTGGATAGAATGCGGGAAACCAATTAAAATATGCGTATTGAGATAGAAATTTTCACAGTTGAGATAGGACGAAATCAGATATCCAAATTCACAAAGCGAACCCGATTGGCCCCCGGATATATGGAAGGAGATAAATAGAGAGAAAGAGAGAGAGGGACTAACCTGGGATTCGAGGAGAGAAGGAAATGAAGATCGAGATAAGATAATCACGCCCACGCCGAGCTTGTTGTATGTGCTTTATAGTAACCACAATGCCGCTTGAGCGGGGATGACGGACGACGGTAGAATTACAAAATTTGCCGCCAATTGCACTCCAGAAAAGAGAAGAATCAGAATGCAGAGGATTTACAGAGAGAACCAATAAAATCGTGAGCTTTAATCTTGTATCAACAGCTTAAAGATTTCCCAGCAAAAGTGTCTTGCTTTTAAAATATTCAGCGTTCGTATTCAGTTTGGGCTGAGCCTGCAATTTATAACGAGCCAACAACCAGAAAGTGACGGAAAGTCTCTTTCCTTCGTGGTAATTTCCCCCTCTCCTTTTTGGCCTTTTACATAGAAAGAAGAGACAGAAGGTGGAGAAAATTGGTGAGGGAGGGACATGGGCGCTTCTCTTTGTCCCAAGGGCATCGACTAACGAGCTGGCCGCCGCGTGTACGAAAACGTCATCGCAGGATATCCCCAGCCTCCTTTTCTTCCGGAGTAATCCTCATCACACGCATTTATGTTCTGCGTATTCCCTTGCGAGCCCAGTTTATCAGCGGTGCTCATTAATTATTTTTTATTAAAGAAGTATACATTTATCATTTAATATTTTTTGCCAGACATTTATCATTTAATTTTATAGCACAGTTTAAACTCACTGTTATATAATATAAAATAGTATAAATAGTATGCCTTATTTTTAAAATTTTATGTAACATGTGAGGATAATATATATATATATAACAAAAATAAAATTTATACAAAGCCACGTTTGGTCGCATGTCCAGTACGATCACTAATCATGTAATCCCCTCTTTACGATCACCTGAAAAAACAAAGTTAGTGTCGATTCAAAATGAAGCGGATGTACATTCCCCTATACTAGGGTTGGGTTGGTGTTGATGCGGCCATGTTACAGTCTTTGTCTTTAAGACTACACAATAAAATAACGCTCCCGCAATACTGCAATGTCGCTGCATGTTAGTTACTGGGATAAGGAAATGCTGGTACCCCCATTTTCAAGGGACCTGTATGTTAGCAGTATGGCCTATTTGTGCCCTTGAAATTACGTGATTTGAAGTCAGTCCCAAGAGAGAGCCGAAAATGAAAATAAAAAAAAGGATCCTGTTATAAATATTAAATAGTCTGGAAGTAATTCTATCAGCATTCTCGTTTATTAATTTTCTTCTTTAGAAAATGAAGTATCACCAATTCATCATCCGCTGCTGTGCGAGAAAGCATCTAAATCTGTGTAATGGCCAGTGCATCGTCACCGCCGATTAAGCCTTCACATCGGAGACGGTCCACTTTCATATTCGCCGGCGAGACTTCCCTATCATCAACCCTAATCGCTTTTCTCACGATTCCCGCAGAATTCGTGTGGCCATCAGAACTCAGAATTCCAAGTTGGTCCTGTCGTTATTTTTTTCTTGGTTTTTTAAATCCTAATTTCCCGTGATAAAAAGAGAATGAAAAGATGTGGAAACATTCATGTAGTGAAAGGGACATAATGAGACAGAATTATGGCAATGTGCCAATGTGTCCACTTTGGGATTTTCCATCCTTACCAACCCTGATGGTGCGGCTCGACGATCCTCCATGTGTTGGCTACTTGCACCCTGTCATTAGCAAGCATATTATGACTGTTAGAACCAATTCATTTTACATACGAATACAAATAAAATACAAATCTCGACAAGTTCATCGATTCCTCTCTCTCTCTCTCTCTCTCTCGATGATTTAATTAATTCAACCGCTAGCGCTATAGGACTGCGTTATATAAATATATGTATATATTTTAGAGCACAAAGGAATGGGGTGGCTGGACTTATTTGCACTCGAAGAAAAGGAGAAGTGGGCCTTATCCTGGCCTTGGCCAACAGGGGTGACGAAAACAAACAGAATAGATGGGTGACGATGAAAATAAACTTTATTCTTATCTTATATAGCTCACGCAAAGACAAAATTCGTCACGACTAGTGGCTGACACAATTGGCAAAATATAATACTGGCCAAGGTGATAAGAACATGAAATATAAAAAGGAGGATATAAAAATGAGGACAAACCGAGGCCTGGTCCTGATAACGTACGATGATGCGTGCATTTTGATAAATACTGTGTTTTTGTTCTGCACTTTGCTTGGACACATGCGATACCGATAAGTTATATCGTGGTCCACGGTCAACGTTTCCTCCTTTCTAATTTCTATCCCATCACCTCCACCAATTTGTTTTCCTTGATATTACTGAGGTTGTTAATTAACAAAGTCACACAAGTTCATGTCCCGTTGTTAAATAGGAAGGAAAACGACCTCTATGGCGGAAATTAACCACAAATGGAGGGGATAATCATAATATCCCCACCATCAGAGGGAGCCTGTCGACTTTCACGAAAATGTTTTTATTATTGAACTTCCTTTAAGAAAACGACAATGAATATGCTCGTTCAAAATGAAACACAAAACGAAATACTAATAAACAAGTCAGGTTATCAAATAAATATCCTTTTCTTCTGGGCAATTCTCCTTTCCACACTGGGGCCTCGATCACAATTTATCATCGTTGGACCTCCCAGAGCACCAAGCCCATGAAGTCATACGGGTGAGACGAAACACAGTCAGAATCTCACCTTCAAGGCTGTAAGTTCAAGCTCTTAAAGAAGAGACCACCGCTGGGACTGCTAATGAATCGGAATCTGCAGAAATAATGGCCTAGGCTGATATTTCGTGGAGGTGCTTCATTTACGCCTCTCGTGTACTTGAAACAGCTCTAAATCATTCATTTATTTTAACGTCTCTTCATTTTCCTGTATTTGCTGGTTAACATTACAACATGCCCGTTTCACAGTCGCACCACTCCCATTAGCTGGGGCAGGTTCGATTGCCAACACTCAACCAAAACAAGAACTTTACACTTGAGCAGTTGCAGGAAATATATAAAGCCAATGGGACAATGTGTTTCGAATGGCCAAAATTGTGATACTTCCTTTTCTCCAAACATACATCATACAAAGAAGCAACCAATCAAATAATAAAGGTCTTCAATACGAGAAATTACAAGAGACAATTTCTGATTCCCAGGATCAAATTTGACAATTTGATAATTCCGACCAAGAAATGTGTTTATTACACGACAAAGAAAAGCTGAGAATTTCAAAGCAGCCTCGATGCCTTCATCTATTACAAGATAGAGAAGAGTGCCCCAGAGTCAAACACAGCGTCATCAACTACAAAGATTTGGTATGCACACCCCAGCATCTGGATTCTGTTGCTCTTTCCATATTCTTCCAGTAACTCTGAGCTTAAGCTCCTTCCTATCCCCACCAGAGAAAAAAAGGGCCATATTTCGTTGGATGATAAGACCATCATGGCTATCCCTGACTTTGCGATGGCTATCCCGGACACTTCTTGGAGTACCCTCCCAAATCAGCTTCCTGCCATTTGCCCCAACTTCTAGGCTATAGCTATAGTTTCGAGCCTCATTCTCGTCTCCCATGAAACGAAGGAATGCCATGTAAACAGGGGCCATCCCAAGCTGGAAAGCTTCAAAATGAAGGCAGAAGTATTGCCCGAAACAATGAAACACCTACCAAAGAATAAGAAGAAATAAGCTAACTTAATAATCAGGCAGTAAGGAGTACACATATATACAGAGAAATGATTCTATGTTGCTCTTGAATGGATTGGCGGGCCAAAATAAAGTTCCTTGGTGATTATTCCTCAACGGAATCAAGGAAATTTGTTCATCTCAGCCCTTGGACTTCTGATGGTTCCACCACACAAAACTAGTGCACTAAAACACTCACATCTAACAGTTCAGAACTCCGACAGACAGCGAAATAGCAGGAAACTCATGTTTTTGTATAACCACAATAAGTAACAAATGGTTGTATCAGGCGGTCCTACAAGACTCCTTGAACTGATAGAAGTAAAATCCAGCTCCCCGCCCCAGTTAAAACCATGCACTATGCAAAATGAACAAGTAAGAAGGTGATCAAGGCTTTCCAGGGGCCAGAACGCTTCAACACTCCTCCAAATGATCCACATCTTCCACTAACAGAACAACCTTACCTAAAAGGACGCAGATCCTCTGACTTGCGTTTGTCTTGGAAGACATGGCATAATAGGAGGCATCGATGCATCATATAAATGTTAGAGATTAGAAATGAAGATGACCACCCAACAAACCTAAAACCACTGGATCAAAATGATTTCCTCTCGTCTACCAGTTCAAGTTGAACGAACAAGGCCAGGGTTAAAATGATTGAAAAGAGAAAAGAGCAGTCAAGCTGATGCATTAGGGGAGTCTGAACGCATCATTTTCAAGGCTTGTTGCGCATTCATTTCATCTTCCATCTCCACTGTTTCCATGTTCCAAATACAAACATTTTGTCCCTCACTTTAAGGTAGAGTCAGGCAGATGCAATTCTAAGGATAGAAATTCTTCCTAAAACCTTCTATCAGTCCCAACTGCTACACCCACTTTTCCATCACTTTACCCACCTTTTTTGGGTTCTCCTTTCAGCTCTAAACCTAGGTGATTTAGTTTTGTCCTCCAAGCCCTTAATTTTCTCAGTGATTCCCCTATCTCCCTCCACCTTCCCTCCTTTTCTGTCTTCTGCTATATACTTCTATTTTCAAGGTTAGGTCCTATAAAAAACACACAAAATAATGAAGAAAAGTAAAAAAGACCAAAGATCCCCTAGTCACGAGAAACCAAAAAGACATATTTCACAATTGCATAAACTTCAGAAAAATCAGATCTCCCAGGCCATAACTTACACCTAGTGGCAGTGAAGTTTGATGAACAACTGATAGTGTATGCCATAAGTGGTATTCCTCAAAGAATTTTGAGTGTTCCATGGACCAAAGAATTATATTTAAACAAGAATGATGACCCTCCCATTTCATCTTTCCCTAAAAACTCTAACACAAAGGGGGGAAACATACAGTGAGCATCCAAGTTGCATTCTCTACTTCACGGGGATTTGACTTCACATAACGATGGTTGAATGTACATCCCGTGTGCATGTCCACCTTATGATCGTCCCTCAGATGGGCAACGAGGAAAGGGATGTCCCCAACAACTGAACACTCTGATCCAGCATAAGGACAATTGTATGGTCTAAAATTGCACTGTGTCTCATGCTTGAGCTTGCTGTAGTATGGAAAGATTTCTGGACACCCAAGAGAATAGTATTTACATGGTAACTCAAGTGATTCAGCTACCTTCTCCAGAGCCAAACATCTAATATCCCCAAGCTCTTGTCTGCATGTGGGACATCGGTTGTGCACCCTTGTCTTACATGTTGAACATAGGGTGTGCCCATTGTGACACTGCAAAGGTGTTACACAATATTAGTATTCGAGATAAGATATTACAAGATCAAGCGGAAGCAGAACCACAGTAACGCTGGCCTTTCTTTTTCATCATTTCTTCCTTTAAGAAATGTTACCAAATAACAACTTATGATCTAGCTTAACACAGTTAACCATAATCTCCACCTTCGGATGCACTCATCCTAAAATATTAAAATAAAATCTCTTTTCCATTGGGTCAAGGAGTCATATAAAAATAATAGAATACCACTGTGTGGCAGACGGCAGTTTTTATAAATGTTCAATGATAACCAAAGTCACAGAAAAAGGCATAGGTTTGATACCAAACAGGCTATCAACAGCTAGGGATCTTCTTCCTAACAAGGACATAGACTGATACATAGGAAAGATGGCAATAACATCCTCTAGACAAAAGAGAAAAAACTCATATAGTATGATATTGTTAAGAAGTAAGGTAAAACCAAAATCTGACACATTCAGTAGTCCTTTGACATAAAAGATAACCAAGTACATAACTATATTATATTATTAGTGCTGTCAAGTCACGTAATTCTTTTATGCCAATGCTTCACCTACCGGATCAGAACTTTAAGACACGACACGTAGACCATAACTTCATGTTAACCAAGGCATAAAAAAGGGGACTCGTCATTTCATCCAATAAAAAGGAACCCGTTCCTCAAAAAATCACAACAAAATACATAAATAAACCTGAGAATCAATCCTCTCTCCAATGCACTGCTATATCTAGAACATAGATCACTGGGACAACTATTTAACTTGATATTGCTGTGCCGAGGATAAAAAATAAAATTGCAAATTGGCCAAATGCGCAATTACAAGTATGGTTAGATTATATTTGGCCCATGGCATAAAATGCTTTCCCCATATAACGAAAATTCGAACTCCAAAACCAAGTCATAGATGTTCCAAACCACGATGAAGCCTACCGAAAAATAAAAAAGAAAGAAACGAAGGCATCATGAAGTCCGCTCAATTCCTCCATTCACCCACACCAAAAAAAGAGCCATCAAATTCACTAAAGTGCGAAGAAAGGATCCTTATTATTATGAAAACGAAACCTAGCACACAGTTACAAAAGTAATATATCATACAACATACATAAGGCGGAAATTGCTAAAAAAGAAAAAGAAAAAAGATGACCTGATGAATTGGTGGGTACATAGAATTGGTACAGACAGGGCATTCCAGCAACTCGTGGACGCTGGTTGCCGGAGCAATGGCCGTGGGGCCCATACTGATGGCGCCATTGCGAGGCTTTGAGGATGAAAACTCAGAGTGATGATGGGAGTGAGGATGTATACCGTGATGGTGGATCTCGTCCTCGTCAATACCATCCGAGGATGACACACACTCAATGTTATCCAAGTCCATCCAGTCGCCGAAACCTCCCACAAGTGATGGATATATGAAATACCCAGTAATCAAAATCATAAATTTCACGAAATCAGATACCTGAGCATTTCTTTTTTGAATCTCCTCCCTCGATTTTCTTCGTTCTCGGCTTTCTTCCAGGAAAACTTGCTAGGAAAAAGAAGAAGAAGAAAATAGGAGGAAGAAGATGGGGATGGTCATGAAGCGGTAAATGGATAAAGGGGTGAGTCCGACGAGCCAACCTCCCTTTCTCCGGAAGAACAGCCTCTTTTCTTCTTCGTTAGCCTTTTCTCCTTCTTCGTTTCCTCGCTACATTCCCCAAACCGGGTTGCAAGAAGAGAGAGAGGGGGAAAGGCGAGCGGGTTGGGGGGGGGGTTAAACTTCGGAAACTCTACGATAATTGAGATCCATCCCACGGGACCCAAATTTCAACTTTTTTTTTTTAAAAAAATTTGGCGGATATTAACGTAAAACCATACGGCCTACTATTGTTTTTTGAGGTATTCGACCAAAATTAATAAAAAAAAAATCATAAGTCAGTATATAAATTATTTATTAAATTCATATTATCATATTATTTTATGTATTGGATATTTTATTATACTCCTCCGGTCCTTATTATAAGACCCAATTTGACTTTTTATTTGGTCCTAATTATAAGACCCAATCCATTTTCTCTATTATATTTATACATTTTTTTCCAAGATAATCCTTCTAATAATGATAGTTTTAGCCAATATACTTAATTAGCAAGGATATTTTAGGAATAACAACACTTATTTATTATAAATAACCAACTTAACTTACTTCCTTAATCTCCTCAAATAAGTCAATTGGGTCTTATAATTAGGACCGGAGGAGTACTTTATTTTTAATAAATATATATTTTTTAATGATTTGGCAATTATTATAGGAAAAAAGTTGTAATAAACGGATTTAATAAAGTATAATAACTACAGAGTCTTAGACATCATATTGCGAAAAAAAAATTAGCCATGCACGAAAACATAAAGTTTATGAAGTCTATTTAATTTGACATGTCATTCTTCTGCTAATAAATTGCACTATATTCCCTAATCATGGAAGTTACTAACATAAATTTTGAAGTATATTCAGTATTCACAGATTATAAATGAGTAAGTTGACGGCAAAGAAAAAAAAATCATAGAAGACTAAGGTTCTCTGTCCTTTTCGTCTACGACCTAAATTGATTGATAAAAATATATTTTACTCCATTAACTATAACTAAATCGTTGCCTTTGTACTGTAACTTTGATATGATTTCTAAACAAGACAAGGTGTTTAAATTTTCTAAAAGTACTCATAAAGAAGTACATAGCACTTAGACGTTTTTTTTTCCTCTCTTATATATCCTGTAAATTTTATTTCGTAATGTTTTTGCTCTGAATTATCGTCTGCCGTTAAGTTTAATCATTAACTGTATAATTTAATACTTAAATTTAATAGAGAATAACGATCAGGGTATTTTTGTTATAAAAATAAACTTTCAAGCATATGAGATCAAAAGACAAAAGCTTTTAGATATTGAATGCTCATTTGTGGATACTTATACGATATTTAAATGTCTTATCCCTTTCTAAATTTCACCAAATTCTTAATGTAATGCATTTGGGTTCTATTTTCTTTCGTTACATTCTGTACTGTAGCCTTTTTACTGATAAACTTTTTTGGAAAAATAACAAAAAATGAAGCTGAAAACGATTAAATTTCAAATTAGATTTGGTATCAACATGTTATTTGATGTTGAGAACACTGAATTTAAAAATGACAATTAACATTCTTTATTTAACATTTAGTAATTTTTTAACCTTTTTTTTAATTATTTTCTCATGTTTTTATTCCCCGCGGCATCCTTTTGATTGATAGTTGATAGTGCAAGCAAAGTAACGGAGAGACTTCCCACATAAATGATGAAGGTTACCGGTCGTATTGACTACTTTCTTTAGAGAACACGTGGCCATGTGACTATGGCAAATTCCAATTCCAGTAATAGGATGATCCACGAGGGGGGCCGTTAGCAGGAAGATAACGAGTGTTGTGTATTTTGTTATCTGCTCACTTCATTTTATTAAAATTATATAGTCCAAATTATTTCATCAGAACAGTCAGAATTTCAAATGCTCTCAAGTATTCTTTGTTTTTTTTTTGGGGGGGGGGGGAAAGAAAATCAAATGCAGGCTTCTAATCCTCAACATTATTGAGTTTAGTTGCTAATTGCTGAGTTGGATTACTCTGCAGCATGTTGGATGGTGTACTATGTGGGGCTAGAGATTGCAGAGAAGAATATACAGCATTAAAAATCCATGATGACATTTCAATTTCAGGAATACATTATTATGACGATGTCTTCAGATATAAATAATAAAATAATGATAGGTTCATTATATGTCAAAATAGACACCTATACTTTAGATCATTATGGTAAAGCCTGTATGCCCCCCATCTACTCCATTACATTACATTACAATAATAATAATAATATGTGAACCTCAGAGCAAGCAAACGTAGGCGTGATGAAATTCGGTTTGAGTTTAGGGGCGTTTACGTACCCGCAATGCCAGAATCCTCCACTTTCCAAATATTGTTCGCCAAGTTAACATCGCTCCGACATGGGATACAGCAGAAGCTTCAAGACATGTTACATGCTGGCGACTATGGAAGGAAGTTCTGCCTCTCCATTACCTCCACCTAAACTTTCCATGGCCTGTTACATACATGCAGAAGTAGGCATTAGTAAGTTTTTAGTGTTGGTAAAGTAAAAACAAGAATTAAGACCGAAGAAACAACGAAGCACTTATTATTAAGGCACATGCGCGTACTGAGATCATAATGGAAGCACCAATTCAAAATAAATCTCAAGTGTTCGGCCACGCTAATTCCCACATCAAGGGATTAAGGGGGAAAATAACAGTTTTGGTATACCAAACAATGCATACCTCTGGATTATGTCTGTGTTCTGAAAGATATCGATCCAATGCACCCTTACCATAGAGGATTTTGGCCCCACTTCCAACAGCCTCTTCATCAACAACAACAGCATCTACAACATCATCACCTGCTCTGGTATCAGGAATCTGCAGAAAAATTCAGGAGGGGCCAAAAAAAAAAAAAAAAACACCGAGATTCATAGCCATCTTTTTGCCAAACAGAGATTCATAATCTAAATGATAGTTTTATTATCAAGTTGTCTACAATACCCACCCACTCCGATCCTGTATGCAATATCTACACTCCACGGTGTACATGAACATTAAGATACGATTTAAAATTAAAATTGAAATCGCATACCTCATACATGGCATCTACTAATACTTTCTCCAATATTGACCGCAAGCCTCGAGCACCGGTATTTTTAGATATTGCTTTTCTGGCAATTGATCTTAAGGCCTTTTCTGTGAAATACAGTTTTACCTGGAAATAAAATAGGAATTTTCAGCTGAAGAGATTCTATCAGCATTAAATTTTTCAAATGATACGTCAATTACCCCATCCATAAAATTAACATGAACAAGCAAAAAAGATCCTTGATATGAACAATAAGATATGCAGACGGAACATGTGTTCTCCATATCATCTGCGGATAAGTCAAGGCTCACAAAAAAAAAAAAAAAAAAAACTTACACCATTCATTTGGAACATCTTCTTGTATTGCTTCCCAAGGGCATTTTTTGGCTTTGTGAGGACCTATAGAGCATTATATAATTGCGATTAAACACATGCAGATGATGCTTTTTTTTGGGTTTTTTTTGGGGGGGGGGATTTAAAATATTGAAAGAATTCACTTCTAAGAATACAAATTAAGCGAATAATGTCGTTAACTTCTGGAAATCAGAAGACATTTACAGGTACATCAGCGTGGACAGCCTGAGTAACATGAGGCACCTGGATATAGCCTACCTGAATGAGTTGATTTTCTGTTAAAGATGACAAACTGACGAGGACAGGGAATCTCCCAACAAATTCTGGTATTAAACCGTATGCAATAAGATCACTACTTTCAACCTGCCAAATACAACAATTTCAATCATCCAAATATCTGACAAATCAAAGCTAGCAGTAGTAAAAACCATTTTTCAAAGGAATTAGGTCTGTCATATATATGATGTTAACTTACGGTTTCCAATAATGATGAAGTAACAGCAGCATCAGTGACACCACCTATTCTCATATTTGCACGTACAGGTGCCCCAAATCCAATAGACGAATCTTGGCGCCTGCATGGGACTAAAAGGAGGCTTCACACTTCATTTTATTCTCACTGTAAGTATAAAACTAATTAATTTCCAGGGTTTGTGCAACCTTTCTGAGATTGTTTTCTCCAGGTCAACAAAAGCTCCTCCACAAATGAAAAGTATATTCTTTGTATCAATCTGTGAAGGAACAAAGATGAGTGAACAAATTCACCAAAAACAAACGATGAGCCAATACCTTCAATATGAAATAAATGCCGAAATAAAATCACATGTAAATAAACAAACTGGGACAAAAATGATAGATCAACAAAGAAAAATTTGTCAAGCACTGAACCATATACAACAAAATGATGGCAAGCACGTACATGTGCCCTAAACATACATAATTATCTGTACAAGTGTCTAAAGAAAATTCTAATTTTAAAAACAAAGGCTAATGCCCATATACCTGAACATTGTCACCTCTAGGATGCTTACGAGCCCCCTTCTCAGGAACATTGACAACCTAGGTAACAGATCAATACACAATAAATTAAACTGACATAAAAAAAAAATGGAAAGGAAAGAATATGACAGAAATTTTCCAAATCAGCGAGAAATGCACTTACTGTTCCCTCAAGCATTTTCAATAAAGCTTGCTGAACACCTTCCCCAGAGACATCTCTACTGATATTAATGCTCTCAGCCTAGAAAATAGACAATTGAAGAAGGGAAAACAACAGAAAGAAATGGTTTAAATTAATCAGAGAAAAGGAAAATGGGGGGAAGACATGACATGGTGAAACCTTTCTAGTGATCTTGTCAACTTCATCAATGTAAACAATGCCCTGCTGGGCAGCTTCCACATTGTAGTCAGCAACCTGAAAGTAATTTGACCTAATGTTACTGCCATCCATAAAATGAAAACGCAACAAAAAGAAAGGAAAAACAGCTCTAATTTATACTTAAAAGGGACTACAGTTAATAATACCGCAGACTATGGTTCAGAAATAAGCAAAGACGAATAAATACATCGTAAGCTAAACCCGTGCTGACAAATAACCACCCCGCAATGAATAGGGAGGGTATGGTAATGCTATGAATAACCCAGTATCAAATACTGGTAATAATATCAGCAAAAGAACGTTCTCCTATGCTT